ACTTAATTAAAAAAATTCATTCATTTTTTTGTCTTTCAAATATGGGTCCATTTGATATTCACCCCTAGAATGAAAAATATATAAGGATAGTTTCACCCCTAAAATTCTTCATTTGAGATACCCGCTGAAGAGGCAAAAATACTATTGTACCCTTAAGTGCAATTTTCGCCCAACTGTATTCAGTATTTTTGCCCCTGCATTCAGCATAATGCCAAACCGCATGTAGCATTTGTGGCCTCATTTATCATTTTTATAGATTTATTTAATAAAAAATAAAAAAATTTAATTTATTATTATTTTTTATATATACCCTATTTTGTATTTATTTATATATTTATTTATTTTTAATTTGTTTTAATTTTTATTTTTAGTAAAATGAAATTGGGGGACCACAGCTCCCTGCATCTTAGACATTCGGCCATGTTTGTAGTTATATTGTTTTTTTTTTACCCCAAAGTCATGGTCAACAATTATGTACACATACGAATATCAGCGCTTATATAAAAAAAATTCATAAACACCAACAATAAAATTCATAATTTAAATATTATATTATAAATCAACTCATACCAGCAAATACATATCAAAATACACAATTACATACATATGTTACTACTGTTATTCTATGGTACTTTATCTTTATGTTACTATATGTTACTAGTGATGTATAGAATGCGTATTAATATATACAGTCTATAGTCGACGGTAACCAACAAATACAGATGGGACAACACAATTACATGCATATGTTACAACATGTTACTATATGATGTATACAGTGTGTAGAACACTGTAACTTGAATAATAGGTCAAAATCGTCAAATTTGTCTACAACTTCAACCAAATTTTCTGAGACCTTCAAGGAGAGGATCAATGGCTTCCATTAAGTTGTAACAGCAAAATCAAAACAAAAAAAATTACTCAGTTATGTTATTTGGAAAAAAACTAGGTAGTAACATTGAATGGTGTTATTCCCATTAAAAGTTAGTGCACATTTACAAAAATTGACGAAACATAAAAACACTCAAAAATCAATGAAAATTAAGAGAGAGGTCATAGCTGCGGATGCTATGAATTTTAGACCAAACCGCCAAGGAGTCCTCACCCCAAGGTTCCGCGCACGCAATGAAAAAAATCACATAAATATATATAAGAATAAATATTTAATGAAATGACTATAAACATATAGATCTAGATGAAAGGAACCAACGGTGGGTAGCCCGTCAAATTCCGACAGACGAAAAACAAACTACACCTTTTGAAAGACCTGTCGTTGCTGAATTACGCACACACAGTTAAACGACTATAGAAATTGACCCAAAGCCTCAAACCGCTTGAAATCACCACCGAAATAAATAGATCGACGAGAGGAATATAACGGTAGTTAAACCATAAAATTACGACTACCGGAGAGAAAGTTATGACTTCGGAAAGCACCATTGTCAGTTGGAGACCTATGGCGCGGAAATTCAGATGTGGGAGTGGAATAAAAAGAGAGAGAGAGACGGTTGTGATTTGGCTAGGGTATAAAACTGACTATATAAGAATAGTTTAGGTACTTCAAGTCGTCCAGGGTGTATGTCAAATTTCAAACAAAAATAAGGGGGAATGCACAAGGTTGTAATTCAAACTATTTCCCATTTAAGGGGGTCCATAAAATAATTATAATACATGTACATATATGTTTGAATATGGGACGAAAACAGTATTTTAGATGATTGCTCATACTAAAGAACATTGAATGTAAGGACAGTTTAAGATGATTGCTTATATTAATGAACAACGATACTTATATGTAGTGATCCAATATTGATTTGAGATTCATGTGTTTCTCATGTCTTATACTCAATTCGAATTTTCCCACAGACGACGCCACTTGATGGTGTAAGATCTACACCCTCAAGACCTTCTCACAAAAAAATATTCCAACATAAATAAGTTCGCCAATTTTTCCAAAAACTAAAAACAGATTTAAAAGTCTAGAGCCTGGAATTAAGAAAAAGTTTTAACACAGTAACAGAAAACTAAAACCATACAACCTCGACAAAAATTACTTCGAGTTCCCTCCGTTTGTTTTCTTTTTACGGGTAGTGATAATTACTTCACGGTCCCATAGTTTTTTGGACAACTCATAAACATCGACTTCGTGGTTGTTTGATGCAAAATTACTGAAACCTCATTTCTCCCTAATTCTTCCGAATTTCAGTTTCATCCGACGTAACTTTTCAGTTATTTGATTCTTACTGAAGTGGGGAAGATGACCATTCATGAAGATGTGAAAGCCAACCCAATCATGGTTTCTTTTGCGGATCCAAAAATGCTCAAGACCAATAAGGAGAATGAGTTCTTCTTGTTTTGAAAAGAGGTCACCAATTTTCTTCTTCTTCTCGTTAGTTTCGGAAGACTCGCTTTCTCCATTGAATTCGAGCATTTGCATCTCTTTCGCTGCCTCTTTTGGTTCAACATTCGTGGGAACACTTTTTTCATCAGATATCCCCATCTGATTTTCTTCTAGTTCAACATTTGTGGGAACTTTTTTTTCATGAGACATCACCATCTGATTTTCTTGGCTCGAAGACTGTTTTTGGGGCGTCATTTTCTTGACTCGGATATTGCTTTGTGTTTGTGTTTGTATTTGTGTTTGTATTTGTGTTTGTGTTTGTAACAAGTCACCTCTATAAATAAAGCTGAATTTGGTGGGAATTTGAAACACAAAGTGTTTTTTTCATTCTTGATTAGCTGCCAATTTTTTCATCCTAAGCCGCTTAGGGTTTTTTTCCCTACAATCCCGTGTAAATCCTTGTTGAGTCGTGTATTGGATATTGCCGCAAAAATGCTGGCATTTGCACAACAGAGACTTAGATGTTTATGCATCATGTCAGGTAGTGGACCGGTTTCTTCGATGACACTACGCCAGCCCACAACATCTGGTGTCAATATTACGTTTGAGGTTAATGCATTTTGTACTCGTACAATTCTTTATACTTGTTGAAACCAGATAATTTTTTTTGTTCGAGCTACCATTATTTTATTTTCTGACTTGCTATTTCTAAATAACTAGAGTTGTTTCGAGATACTGTGGTTTACCGGTTCGTACTTGCTCTC